GTCAAAGAACGTGAATGGCTGCAAGAAATATTGTTGGAGGAGAGTGATTCAGACGATGACGGTTAGTATTGCAGTGTTTTGTTTATGTTTTGAAATTGCTTACGATTGCCTCTTATTTTTTCATTGACCTGAATACTAACTAAACTTACTTAATTATCTGGTTCTTCTACCGCGAATAAAAAGTCAAGAAAAACGAGTCACTTCGATTATAAAAGCTCTAGTTATGCTTTAGGAGAGATGTTGTTCACTGTTCGAGACATTCGTGCCGCTGTGAAGGTGCATCAAATGCGACGAAAACTCCAGAAACGTTATCATAGCGATCGATCCAATAGCCAATTTACATACTATTCAGCTGGACTACTCAGCAATGACGATCCATTCCCTGATCATCAGTCTATGATTCTTCGCAATCTGACACAGAATCGAAGCGAGTGATTATAATATAAGCATACGGGTATCATAAATGCTTTGTATACAGCAAAGTTCTTGAAGATCTGCCCAGACCGGTTGATCATCCATTGCATTCTGATAGTTGTCTTACGCATAGTCATAGTATGCATAGTACAGCTTTGTTGATCTTTCATGCTTTTCAGCTATTTATCATGTTGCTAATGTTTTTCTTTTTTGAACATTTTCCGTTTTGCGTCTGGCATCTTTCTTTGTACATAACATTTTTTGATAAACTATTGATCTCATTTGATGTATCTTTTGTTTATTGGTTGCTAGACCATTTTTATCTTTTTCGCATTCCATTTTTCGTTTTCTTCGTATATTTATCAGTAACCCATTCTAGAGCATGGTGGAGTCGGCACTGGTCGGGCATTTGCTCGACCCACGCTCCCCATTGAACGTTGAAAGTTTACTGGTATGTTTTCCTTCTTTAGAAATTAATTGCCGATTATTTTTTGTTTCGTTTCAGGATGCCATCACCGCTCTTTTGATTGATTGTAAAATTCCTTCTTTGATGCGTATTAAAAGCATAGACAGTTTCATAAATAGATGTAAGTTTTTTCCCAGTTTACATTTTGTTTGAAATATGATGTATGCGTTTCAGATCAACAGGTCATTGAACAGGTATCGCAGCAGAGGCTGAAAGGCTCAGATTTTCGGTTGCTAAAAGTGATAGGCAGAGGTGCATTCGGTGAGGTGCAGTTGGTGCGCCACACTTTGACAAATAATGTCTATGCAATGAAGCTTCTCAATAAAGATGACATGGTAAGTATATTGATTAGTTGTTTTTGAATCGGCACGATCATAAATGGGATTTATAGGATTAAAGGCCGTGGACAGGCAGATCGGACCCCTCTCTTTTGGCATAGTTGGGTAGTAGACCCCCAAGTACACCGTAGCCCAAACCCC